GGATGAGTTCATCAGAATCAAGTTTTTTTTGCATGAAGTTCAAATACCATGTAAAATGATAAAGAAGAAATACCCATATATATTGTGGTGTGGTCTACTTACATCTATATAAGTAGTATATGGTGATGGTCAGATATAGAATGTATTTTAGCAGAAAATCGATAAGAAACGAACAGGAATAAAATGCAATCGGTACGAAAATGCATGAACAATGAAATTAGAGAAGATCGACTAATATTTGCAGAAGGAACAGTCAATATTGAGATAATTGGTTGTTATTTTACAAATTAACTACTGACTGTATGGTTATCAGAATTTAGTGAGATTAAATACAGTGGATCATTCCCACTTGTGTTCTTGTTCATTATAATACTATTCGAAACGTTTAAAATGATAATAAAAAAATAATTTTCCAAAACCATAGAATTAAAAAGATAATGTTAGACTTATTGAATGCTCAATTATATAGATTAGGTAAATTGATACCTTCTAAATCCTAATCATAATTATCAAAAGGAGTTTTTGTGGAGATTTCAGCATTTTGATAGTTGAAATCACGAGTCAATTGAAGCTAGACCCCCAATGAAAACCTGGAAGCACTGCTTCAAGGTCGTTTCGTCTTATTGTGGAACTCCTCAGCAGTGCGCATTCACGATCCCGACTCGCGAGACTGGTAGGTTCTGGGTTCGAATCTCGTGAGACGGGATCGTGGATGCGCACCGTCGAGGAGCCCCACAATAGGACGAAACGGCCGTCCAATGCTTCTAGGTTTTCCTTGGTGCTGTAGCTCTAAACGTAAACCCTTAATTTTGAAATAAACTTAAATCTGATGGTATTCAATTTTGTAAGCGAGCTAATCAGATATTACCTCTTACAACTTCTAGCGAAATTGATTCATTCATATGACTACAGAGTATTTTCATGTCATAGTCAATATCAGTTAGTTATTGAAATTCTAACTATAAACTCTTGAGTAAGAAATCATAACTTGTAGAGTGTAATTGTCGTAGGATTAAAACAACTATCACCAATTATATTGGTAGATTTTCTGGCTATATAACAAATTAATTGAAGTTTGAAATCTATACTGTTGAATTTCAACCTAGTGATTTAGCTGTCAAGCATTTCCCAAGAGATCTGGAAGTCCTAGGTTCGATCCTAGATGGTGCAGTGTGTACACATTGCTGATGATTTCTGTACCAGGATGAAACGCTTTCTAATCCTCCTTAGTATTCGACAGTATATGAAATAAGGTCAATCTGCAGTGAATTTAAAAAGGCATAATTATTTTTATTCAGTTCCAGAAATATTGCGAGAGAAAGGGATTGAAAGACAACATTAAAATAAAATTGATAATCTACTGGTAGAAATTTGTAATTTCCATTTATTGTTATTCAAAACAGTAATTGATCAGTCTTTGTTGATATTATGTCTATCCTTAACGAACTGCCTTAATATGGCGTTGTGTTACAGGTTATAACAGTACAATTCACGACATGCATTTCATCCTACCTAGGATGCATCACTTGATATTCTTTCACATTGAAAGTCCGACCGTGTAAATTTTGCTTCAGATGCTTAATGAATTGTCTACTGAACTAATAAGTGAAATTAAGTATTCCAAATAGGACATGTGATTGCATAATAGATTCACAACTATATTATATATACTATATATATACATCTATTATGAAATTAATTATTGATCATGGTAACTATTGTTTGGTTAAGGTATCTAATAAATCTTAAAAAGATCTCACTCATTTAGTGTTCGTTTATTTTACATCAAAAAAATATAGAAAGTTATTTTTAGTTAATTATTTCGATCAATCAATCAGTCAATCAATCAATCGATCGATCAAATTCAAATTGATGAAGCCAAAATATATATTTATACTAAGTTAAGTAATCTTATTTTTATGTATTACGTAAGGATTTGTAATATTTTACTGATAATATTCTTGATCAAGTTTTTATAAATCTTGTATGGATTGCACTGATATAATCATTTGTTCAGATAAGATGGTGGTTGGAGGTGGTCAACAAGAAACCCTGGACCCGGGTTTCGTGTTACTTGGCACTCGTCAGCAAGGTGTACTTGTAATCTTGAGGAAACTGGTGCTCCCTGACGGATTCGATCCCGTGTCACTCAGCTTCATAGTCAGAGACGTTACCACTGAGCTATTCGGGACGCGACCGACCTCCTGTAGGACTGAGATGTAGTCACAATTGATCGAATGCTATCGATCAGCACTAAGAAGGACTTGACACGCATGACATTGATCACCAACCAGTGATCAATCAATTGTGATAATCATTTGTCTTTATCAATTATTCACAATGAAAGGTACTATAGTAAAGGTCTAGTATAAATACTAACATGGAAATGTGAGTATATCCATTTGACGAGACCTATATAGTATGAGATTACGATTTCTGGATTCTATTATATTAATCATAATTCATTTATTATTACATCATCATGTTGTAATATATAGATTCAAGCAATTTAATAAGTAAACTGAATATTTATCAATAAAATTAATTGAAGTCTTGCTATAATGAAAATTGATTCAATATTGGAAAACACTGACTACTGGATACTACTGATTTTTTAATCGGAATGTCTAGGATATATCAGTCAGTCACGTGAACCCTAACCAAGTAGTCTGCATCTACCAACATGGCTTAGTTTAGAAGTTAGTGACCAGGTACATATGTGCATCAATCCAAGTTGCCACACCTTATTAGCACTAAAAGATCAACACCGGATTCATAGAAGTAGTTAATTTGATTATGGTAATATATAAAACAAAGGTTATATATAACAATATAGTACAGGAAGAAAGATATGAAGCAATTTTAATCTCAAGGTTTAAGGGAAGATAAAGGGTGTATACACCTACGCCATTGTGATCGATTCTGAGCAATGTCATTTAGAGTCTCCAACCAATGGTTACGATAGTCACGCGGACCCTAACCAAGTATTCTGTATCTACCAACATGGCTTAGTCTAAAAGTCAGTAACTCCAAGTCATGGTTAATGCATTGAACTTTGAACCTCATCAATTTTGTAAAAAACTAATGGTATTATCTGTCTATTAAAGCTTAAATACATAAAATATGACTTAAATTTGTTCCTTACTGATTACTGAATGCTGAATACCTTAAACAACCCTCTATTGGGTAATAAATTTTTAAAGAATCTCACAATACAACAAATTAAATCTCTAATTCTATCTGATTGTTCACAATTTTACGAATAACGTCAGTTACTGATTAAAATAACTGGATCTCTGTGCCAATGTGGTATGGCAACTAGAACTGATGTACGTAAGTAGGAAGTTCTACGTTGTGACTGACTGACTAACTTTAAATGTTATACAATTCCAAACAGTTTAATTTCCAAAAAGATTGTTAAGCAGAATAATTTAATAAAAATTATGATACATTACATCAAGGAACTTTTTTCTGGTTAGCATTATTTTAGCGAGTTGGTTTTCTGTGCGATGAGGTCGCTAACCCCATGCTCAACCCTGCTTCTTTATCCAGGCTTGGCACCGGCAGTAGCCCCCGGAAGAGCTACAGGCGGATTAACAGGCGTAAGTAAGTAACTAAGTATATTAAAGAATTAATTTATGTATTAAATACTCTTATGACTATAATTTATCTATGTTACCATATGTGATTTATGTAAATTTTCGGAAAGATCTAAGTGTTATGTAACACATATTTCTTCAAGTCCCAAAGTGAACATCAACTCTGAGCTACAGGTACATCCAACTGACAAGTCCCAAATTAGACGAAACGCGCGTCAAAACTGGATTTCACTGCTTATAATGCTTGTGAATTAAGGCTATATCGAGGAAATACGCACAGTATGTACATATACCAATAAGAGACTGACTAGTTGCAGTCCTAAAAACATAAATAGGAAGATTCAAACAAGTAATACTAAGTGAATCTTCTTCATTTTGTTTTAAAAACAATCGACTGAATTCGTCGTTTGCTTGTTTTTTTCTGTTTTTGAAAGTACCATATTCTCTAAGTTAGATGATATTCATTTTATGTAGTAAAAAAAATAGTCTCTAACGTTGACTATATATGATAGATGTTCCTGTTATATAAAGACCATAATAAATTTCCCCTTATACACTATACCTTCAGCTAATGAACATTATTTCATACACCTTTGCTATGCAGTTTATAATTTTTCTAGATTTTCAATGATGGTCCAACATGTATCAATTCAGGATCTCAATTATAAACTCAACAATCTCCATAATTCTATACACATAACACAGAAAAAAAATGATAACACATCACTGCAAATTTAGAAATCAAATTACTTTCATCTAAAACAAACAGAATTAAATCATTAACGGAATAGAGGTTTTTTATAGTCGAGATCATGAGTCAATTGAAGCTAAACCACCATGGAAAACCTGGAAGCACTACTTTAAGGCCATTTCGTCCTATTGTGAGACTCTTCAGCAGTGCACATCCACGATCCCACCTTGCGAGATCCAAACCCACTACCTATAATGACCTCATGATCTCAACTATATAAAATTACTAAAACCCCCTTCTGAGAATAGACGTTATAGTTCCCATCATTTATTTATCATGTCTTACTTAATGAAGTAAATAATTTATACAGATTCATGCCTATATAACCATTTGATCAACATAAACATTTATAGAAGCGGTTTTTGTAGAGATTTAGTATTTTCATAGTTGAAAGCATTAGTCAATTGAAGCTAGACCACCAAAGAAAGCCTGAAAGCACTGGGCGGCCTATAATAGGACGAAAAGTTCGTCCAGTGCTTCCAGGCTTTCCTTGGTGGTCTAGCTTCAATTGACTAACACTTCCAACTATAAACATTTATAGTTTTGTACTGGAACGGATGATAGTGAAATCATTCAATGAATTCAATTGCAGAACAAAATTTTTTTAATTATAATTAAAATGTTTCATATATATGTTACATATTACTTACCGTCCTGATTTTGTAATCACCATTTCAGTAGTCATACTATGAAAATGTTTCCATAAATCAGAATCTAATAATTCAGTTCGTTGAACTAATGAATCAATTTGATCTGATTCATTTTCTAATAAATCATTCATAATATATGGATTAGATGATTGATAACCATTACCATTATTATAAGTAGTAGTATTAGTAGTATTAGTAGTATTAATCATAGTAGTATTTTTATTATTACCAGTTGAATCAATGATATCATGAAAAGTTAATTTCTCTGGGAATACATTTAAATGATTGAATTTAAATCTTAAGTTGCCTTGATCATCTACTATGTTACATTTCATAGATTTTTTCAATCCATCTTCAGTGTTTAAATAATTCGGATTATGTAACAAATTATAATGAAGTTGACTAGATTTGTTACAATGTAATATATGATCATCCATAAATTGATTTACTGTTGTTGTTGTTGTTGTTGTTGTCGTCGTCGTCATCATCGTTGTAAGTCCTTTTGTCAACGATGGCGATGATGTTGTCAACATCATAGATGATGATGATGATGATGGTGAAGAAGTAAAGGGTCTAGATGCATATGATAATGATAATGTTGGTGATTTATTTAGTGGATTAGATGTTGACATCAGAGAATCCATATTTCTTTTCATAAACATCATCATTAACATCATAAGTAATATATTACTATTATTATTATCATTATTATTAGTAATATCAATATGATCTGGCCAATTAGTAGGATCATTCAAATAATCTTTTAAACAATATCGAAAATCCCATCGATCACGGAGATAATGTTGATAATAATCATTTTGTGAATTACAATTATTCTTCAAATCATTATTATGTATATGATTACCAATATTAAAATGTTCCATTGAATCAAACTTCACTGGTACTGATGATTCCGTATTAAACATGGCGCTATTAAACATTGATTGTAATGTTGCAGTATCTAATGCTGTTGTAGGCGGTAATGATAAATTTGATGTATTATTATTTAATAAACCATTTGTAACTGTATCATTTAACATTTTCATTAAAACATTTAATTGATCTGAATCTATTCGATTCATTAAAGTAGAATAGAATGATGTAGAATTTCTACAAAATAATGAATTTGGTAACGGAGGAACAGATGGAATTGGAAATGATAATGATGTTGGGGTTAGTAATGGTAATGATGATTGTAGATGTATATTTGATTGTGTTAAGTGAGATGAAGATCTAAACACTGTACTACTATTGGGTAAAGTTGATAACATTGGTGAAATTGATGATTTCGATGTATTCAATTCATTAGAATTATGTCTATTTCGATTGAATATAAATTGTGATTTACATGTTTCTACATTGAATGATTTTGGCTCATCATCATCATCTTCTTCTTCTTCCTCCTCCTCCTCCTCCTCATCATCATCATCATCATTATCATCGTCATCACCATTATCATGATTGTTTTTATCAAGGGATTCCATAGGGTTTGAATTAAGAATGATTGGATTATTCAATTGGGTTGATAAATTCATTGATGAAGATTTATCAGGAAAGCATAAATTTGATGTTTTTTGACTGATCAACATGACGATGGCGGGTCGTAATAAAAACAATAATAATAATAATATGTAATCGCAGCAGTACTATACAATTGAAAGCAGTGTCACATTGGTAATTTTTATATAACTTAACTCATATTTACGTAAACTCTCTCTCACACACACACATCTATACATGAAATTAACATCTTAACAAAATGTTAAAACGATTGGATACTAAATCCTTTTTTTTGAAAATGGATAGGGGGATGAATAAATATATAGAGAATGAAACATGAAACACTTTTAACCAATAGAATCCTTTCACACTTGTTTATAATATAGTAGATGTAAATTATTGGTGTCAATTTTCGAAAGTCTATGTATCTATCTATCTATCTATATATATATAGGCATAGAAACATTCACAATATTACAAGGTTAACACATGCCCTATAGAATGATAATAGGTATTTCCTTATTCCATGTAAACTTTCTGCCCCCCCCTCCCCCCGTCCAATCATACACAATAAACACTTTTCTATCCATTTATCTATCACATTTTCTATACTAGAAAATTCTATTTGCTGTATACGAAACGGACAAGGATAAGAAGGAAGAAAGAGGGAGAGAGCGAGAGAGAGAGAGAGAAGGAGTAACAGAGAGTGATTATATTAAGCGACTATATATATAAATATATATCATACAATCATAAGAGATCAAGAAGCATTCTAGTTGGATTGGTTAAAGGAATCATACACTATTTTCGCCTTTTTATGTTCATTATTTTTTTTTTCTTCTCGTTTCGTTTGTTGTTATTGCCTACTATAGATTTCATTATCGTTAACTTTTTTTTATATTTTCACTCTTTCTTTTCTTTTCTGTGATACACTCGAATTATTCAGTGTCTATTTGGTCTCTTTTTTGTTGTTGTTGTTGTTGTTGTTAGTAGAATGCCAAATCTAGTAGACATAGACATGGTGAACGGGTCATTTTATAGATCATTTGTATGACAATAATATTTAATAGTCATTAAGCACCATAAAAATAATCACTCGTAATCATACACACACTGTGTTCATTAGGTCAAAAAACCTAGACAATTCATTGAATATGAAGATGATGATGATGATGATGATGATGATGATGATGATGATGATGATGATGACAACAACAATAATAATAATAATGATAGTGACATGAAAGTAAACAAAATTCACTTCACAACACAGATATACCTACCTATCTACCTACCTACATACATACATATAACATACGATAATAATAATAGTACAATTAAATGTGTGCATCGAATCTACCAATAATGAGTTATGTATGAATTTAAATGAGGTTAGTAATTTTTTTATTTATTTAGAAGAATATCAACTCAATGAAGACAATTGGTGAATTGGTTGTTCAGTTTCGTGGATTGGTTGAAGTTAGACAAAAACACCGTTGGATGCTGGCCAACTCAGTGGTCTATCGATTAAGTGCTTTGGCTCGAGAATGGTAGGTTCTGGGTTCGAATCTCGTGAGGCAGGATCGTGGATGTACACTACTGAGGAGTCTCACAATAGAACGAAACAGCCTGTGCTTAGAGGTTTTCCCTGTTGGTCTATCTTCAATTGACTCATGATCTCAACTACATAGGATATATTATTGTTGTTTTAACAGAACCAAGATTTTTTTGTTGAAATTTACCTCTATGGAGAAGATAGTCAATTGAGACCAGTGAGTGATCTTATATTTCTTGAAAATTAGTAAGTATTGATCAACTGTAGCTTCTATCACAGAATGACCTTAATTATGAAACGATTGGAAATCAGGAAGCAGTGAACAGTTTATTCCAACCTAGTGTGGAACTTCTCACCTGTGCACATCCACGACCCCACCAAAACCGATTAAATTTCAATATGTAAACCGGTGGATGATGGCTCACTAGTCTAAAAGTTGCGTGCTCAGTATGAGATTTAAAGTCTCTATATTTTATTCCAGGTTGGTTCATGGACGTACACTGGCGAAGATTCCGATGCCAGTATGAAAGTTGTTCACCACTACCAGACTTTCAATTGTTGTCTTAATAAGATCGCTTTGTTATGGAATCTGAAAATCTAGTAACTTCCACAAACCCAGTATACCAATTCTTAAGTTTATATAAAAAATTGTCATTAACTGGGAAATTAAGAAGTATTGTGGGATAAACGTTTTGTTCTGGTCCAATATACATTTATAACTTCACATCTGGGATCGAACACAAAGTATCCGATTCTTATGATAAGTATACAAGCGTTTTGCTCACTTGATCGATATCTAATTTGTCACATTATCAAGTTCAGTAAATTTATGTTCACCTGACTAAAACATCAAGGATACTCCTAGAAGTGATTACATATTAAATAATAATAGTATAAAAAATCGGCATTGGTTTATTGTTGAATGATTTTATGCCAGGTTAGTTATGTGTTCACCCTAGTCTGATATCTCTATGTAGTGTATCTCATACCTCACAGCTTCACATGCGAGAGACAATTCAAGGTAAATAGACCCCATAATAAAGTTAGACCATGAAGTCGGAATTCTTTAGTCATTTTAAACCCATAGTGACCAGTTTAGTCGATAAGCTTAGTTTAAAATGTCGTACATAGATAATTCAAGTTACAACTATACTTTTGTTAGATAAAAATTGGATTATTCCATCTAATATTAGTATAAAAGTTTTATGAAGATTGTTCGGTATGTTATTGGCATTATGAAATCAATACTACTAATCTCACCGTTAATGCGGTTTGTGCAATACCACGAAATGACCGAATTCAGAAATGAAAAAAACTAGATCCCAACCTAGTTAATTACAAGCCAAGTTTCAGCTGAAAAGTCTGAGGGTCTAGGTCTCCATCTCTGGGGGAGTTTTGGACACATACACTCCTAAAGATTCTCCTATGAGACTACGAAATAGTTGTCCATTACTCGACGTTTTCTAAAAAGTTTGTTTATCTGAAATTAGTCTATTGTTTGTACTGGTTTTCTTTCTAATTATCAGAATTTACTATATAAATATATCTAAAATTATTGATTGAGATCATGAATCGATTAATGCTAGATCAACATTAAAAACCTGGAAGCACTAAACGGGGGTTTCGTACTAATATGAGACTACTCAGATGTGCGCATCCAAAGTTTAATAATGAACCTTGCTAATGAATAGTTAAATGGCAAAATAAAAATATTTCATAATTTAAATAGTAAGTTTAACCATGTAACTAACTTACCATTTGTATCATGTTTTGGATATGAATATTAGTAATACTATACTTAAATTAAATTTGACAGTTCATATTAGAATTGTTTAATTACAAATTCACTCATCAGCAGTGCGTATCCACGACATCGCCTCATGAGATTCGAACTCAGGACCTACCAGTGTCGCGCCAGAGCACTTAACCGATAGATCACTGATCCGGTATCCAATGGTGGTCTAGCTTCAACTGACTTACGCTTTCAACTGTGAAAATATTAAATCTCCATAAAAACCCCTCCTGATAGTAATTCACTGTTTACTTGATTGATGAATTGACCATTTTCAAAGTATTACATTAGACATTTAACCATATGCCGGCGTGTATCAGGTTAAATGACTTGTTAAAACCTTACTGACATAAATATTCATTTCTTAAATTTGTTTTTAACTGATTAATTATGTCTGTCAATCGAGTGTACTTACACATTCTCAACTAGAATGTTTACAACTCGTCGTGAATCTTAAGCAGTGGAATCTAGGATGTGCGTTTCGTCCTATTTAAAACTCGTCAAGTGAATCAATAAACCATTACACAGTTTATATACTATTTGGGAAACGCGAGTCCTGGATTTTACTTCTAGCGACTATCCATCTCTGTTTACCATGCTTGTGAATTAATAAGACATATGTTTCTAGTTTATTTTATATTCTGAAGTTTTGTAAATAGATCACTTAGTAGCAATCAATGTTATATTATTTCGGGGTGCTAACGTTAATCTAATTCTGTTGATTAATGTTGAGATGATATCATCGCTCAATTAACTCCGTTAATATGACGATGTAGTTTATTCGATGTCGGATGACCGAAAACATTTAACACGAAGCTTCTGTGACCTGGACCTTATATCCGCCGACATTTATCAGTGAGAAATGTTTGTCTAATAATTCTCCAGACATGTAAAATAAAATATTGAACAATGCCAAATCACCACTTAGCTTAATGACTATAGTGACATAATCCATTTAAGATTAGGGACTTTTAGGTGATTGAATATAATCAGAACGAAATCTTGTTTGACCTGTATTTCGTGCTAGTCGGCACTCTGCTTACCATGCTTGTGAATTAAGGCTATATCGAGGCAATACTCACAGTATGCACATATACCAATTAGAGACTGACCAGTTGCAGTCCTAACAAATCGATAGAAAGATTCAAATAAAAAATAATGAATGAATTTATATATCTTATTAAACTAATTATTAAGATTTCAATTCGTGGATTGGTTGAAGTTAGACATTAACACCGTTGAATGCCGACCAGCTCAGTGGTCTATCGGTTAAGTGCTCCCACGCGAAACAGGTAGGTTCTGGATTCGAATCTCACGAGTCGGGATCATGAATGCGCACTGCTGAGAAGTCCCACAATAGAACGAAACCACCTTAAAGTAGTACTTCCAAGTTTCATTGAAATATCAAATAGATCTAGATCTGTTAAACTTTGATCATTGAACAACTGTTAAATAAACAATATCACACTAGGTATAATTAAATCAACTCTAAATAAAGAAATAAATCATAGAATATTTAAGACAGTTGTTCCAATAATAATTATTATTATATTTGACAAGAGTGAGGCGGCAATTTATGTCAATAGTATAGGTGTCTATATATGTGTAGTTCTTCAGTTCTTCCTTAATCTCTATAACTTCAAATACATATCATTAATATACAAAGTAATATGAATAAACTAAGGAAACTCTCATTCATATACACGCGTTATAAAGGTCTATTAACTGTGTGAAAATTTACATTTCACTAAGAGATAGAGAGAGAAACACAAAAAAGACTAATAATCAATCTAATAATATGGCGCCAAATGTAAATATATATTGACCCTTTAATTATAACAGATTAATTTATCGAAATTTTATAAATGTACAATTGGTTGTCATTGTTATTGTTGATGTCTTCATTCTCATAGATGGTAAT